GGGGGGGGGGGGGGGGGGTCACCTCTCCCTACTCCGCCCACCTGGCTCGATTCCACCTGTCTTTGAAAACCTTTCTGCTCCTCTGAAAATGTCAAGCTTGCATTTTGCATTTTTGGACTTAATTTGACAAACACTCATTCCACGTTTCCAAATTATGATTCCACAGCGCCTACTTAAACAGAAATCAAGATGACATTTCCCTTTAAAGCACGAAGCGTTAGTTGAGCTGTTCTGATACAGATTTTGTACAGACCTCTTTATCTATCGTATCCGCCCTAGATAGGCCGTACTTTCAGGGACAGTAACCTGTGCTCACAGGAAAAAGCTGCTGCCCTTTTAGTGACTGCAGACTGCCTCTCCATTGCTGTTTGTTTCAGATAAAATCCTCCAAAGAAACTGATGAAGAACCGGCCCAGTCACCCAGTCTCTCCGCCACCCCCTTCTAAGGGGCCCAGAGTAAGCTCTGCTGGTTACGATGCTAAATTAGCCGTTTGGCCGCGCTCCCATCAGCCCTTTCTGAACAGGCGGTGTGTGAACAGTGACGCCCTCCCTCCCCGTGAGGACAAGTCCTTCCTACATGGACACCTACTGTCTCCCCAGTAAGAGCCCTGCTCTGGAAATTATCCTCAGTGAGCTCCTTGCTTGCCGCAAGTAACAAAACTCTCCTGAGTCTTCCGCAGACTGGTTGTGCTTGTTGGCTCTGCACTCATGGAGAGGGAAACTCTGCACCAGTTAGGATGCTATAAAAAACAGCAGCTCAGAGGCAGCGTGAGGCCTTCTGTGGATCACAGAAAATAAAACAACCAGTGAGTGTGACGTCTCCAATGTACTGACGCTATTTGTCCATTTGTGGGGAAGTTGAGGGCAGGGCCTCCTGTGGAGCCGTGCACCAGCCAGCTGGGGAAAACACTCTCAGCCCTCCCAGGCTGGCACGTCCTTCCCTTCCGCCCTGCACATCCCTGGCTCGCCAGCACCTGTGTTCCTGGTTCCCCCACGCATGTTCAGCCTGGGCTTCCGATTCCCACAGAGCAGGAGACCCCAACAATTCTCAGGCTACACCATGTGCTACTCCAACCCTTCTTCAGTCACTACCAAGATGGCAACAGTTACTTCTAAACACCGGAAGTGAGTCGATTCTGTTTGCAAATCTAATGATCATGAAGCTTCCAATCTCTCAAGCGGGAGGAGACCAGAGGATAGGTTCATTTAGGTTTGTCACTAGGCTCCTTGCCGCTTCCTTAAATGACTCTCACAGCCTAGGGCATGGCAGCCTGGCCAATTGTGTAAACCTTCAAGCTCCCCTTCACCCTGTGGGCGGTGGGAGGCTGAAACATGGGCACCCTGGGCCTCATGCCATGGCAAACAGGAAGCATTGTGTGGCTGCCACCCACTACCAGGGCTGGCACCTGGATCCACCTACTTCAGCTTCAGCAGAGGGACCCTGAGGTGAGAGCTCTCTGTGTGTTCCTCCTTCTCCCAAGAGGCAGATGTGGACCAACCAGCCACCTCTCTGGTCAGCGTGCCTCTTCGCTCCCACTCAGCCAAGCTGTTTTCCCAAGATTCTTCATCAGGAATGAACTCTGGACGGTAAGCAGGCATGCACTGTGACCTGAAAAACAAGAGCTTTGTGGTTATTTCTTCTAAAATCACTTTGCCAGAGCAAGAGTTCCTCTCGGTGATGAGGTGTGAGCCGCCATGGAATAAGTCCTGTCCTTTGAAAAGGCCACTGAGGCTGTGGCACTCTCTCCTTGATGGGAGTGGGCTTTCCTTGATATCACAGGACACGACTTAAAGGAGATCTCCCAGGGTCACTCAAGCCTTCAAAAGGAACTGTGAGCCTTCAAGAAACAGCTGTCTTTTCTAATTTCAGAAATCAATGCAGCTGTTCCTGGCTCAGCTTAGTTCCCCACTCGGTTCAGCATTTGCCTCCCTTTGAATGCTCTCAAGCTGTCAACACCAAGCAGAGTTGTGTGAGCTTTTCCTTCTCTGTGCAGATCTTTCTGTCGTGGAGCTTAAGGGCCCGTGGACCAGGGCCATGAGCAGGAAGGAGGAAAGCCAGAGCTAGGCTGGATGGGCCCATGGACAGGGCCTGTGCTTAGAAGGATGAATTGAGGGTCAGCATAAACTTTCATCAGAACTACATGTGGACATTTAGCTTCTATTCATTACATTTGGACATTTCTGCTGAATTCCTGGGCTCCTGAGCAATTCCCTACATATCAGTACACCTGACTCTCCAAAGGCTGTGCCAAAGCTGGGGTTTTCATGTATTCCACCCAGTACTAGTGTGGTCACAGTACTAACCACAATACCAACCCTCTGCTGCTACACGTCAGGAACAGTGGTGCTGCTTGACCCCAGCTAACACAACAGGGGCTGTGATTCTCCTGAATACTTAATACAACAAGGAAAAGATCTTATTCATAAGGACAAGCCCAGAGACAGAAATCAGGTTGTGCAAAACCAACACAAAGCAAGGTAACAAATGACTCTGAAAATAGTTAATAATCTTGTCCATCGATTTTGCAATGGGAAAATGCTTAGGTCTCTGAAAAAGTGCAGCACCTCCCTCCTGACTGCTGGAAAAACACCATGATGATGAAAACTGGGACTGAGAAATGGCTCTCTTGTAGTCAGAGAAAAGAAAGCCAGTCAGTGTCAGTGCTTTCTAAGGTATTGCTATGCACTAGAACTTTGCAATGGAATCGAAATGGTGTCCGCCCATCTGTCCAGTAGCCACACGGCTATGGGCTGTGAAATATGCAATGGCAACTGAAAAACTAAATGTTTAGCTTTATTTCATTTAAGTCCAGCTCCTGGCCTTCATCCTCCGGGCTCTGAGGACAGCAGCAGGGGCCACACTGGACTCGGTGATGCCGGACAAAGGAGACGGAGGGGCAGACATAACTGTGCACATCACGCGGGCAAGTGCAAAGGAATTTGAGAGTCCGCATACAGAGCACATCACCTCCTGGGGAAGGAAGGACGGAAACTCCCCAGAGAAAGTGACTGCCGTGGCCGACCAGCCGATCGGGACTGCCCTGGAGACTGCACAGGGAGGGGGTCCCGTGGTCAGAGGCGTGGTGGGGTCTTTGGCAGACAGACACAGCTTGTCCCCAGATGCCACCAGAGAGACCCTCACCATGGGTGGTGACAAACCCAGAGTGCCCCGTCCTGGAGCCTCAGCCCCTGCAGGGTGGGGTCCACACAGTCTGCCAGTACCATGCCGTGTGAAGCTCACCCGCACCCTGCGGCAGACAGCAAGGGAGAAGGTGGAATGCATCCAAGGTGTGGGCAGGGACGGAACAGGTGCACAAGGTCACTGGGCAGGAAGGGAGGCTCCCTGATGTCACCGAGCTGATGACATGCGGGGGAGCAGGCTTCCTGGAGTTTATCCGCAGAGAGAGGAACAGATGGAGCTAAGGACCTGGTGGAGTGCTTCATCCCCGAAGCGTAGACGTTACCCTCCACGTCACTCTGCTCAGGCAAGGCCAGGATGCGTGAATTTGTTCCAGGAAGGATCTTCAGCCCTTCATGGGATAGAGCTTTCTTGGGAATCACACACACAGGGTTTCTCGACTTCATCACAGTTGACTTTGGAGCTGCGTGATTCTTTTGGTGGGTTTGTCCTGTACATGGCAGAGTGCTGAGCAGCCCTAGTCCCTGCCTTAGATGCTGGTAGCACCTCCGTCCCCAACGTGATAACCAAAAATATCTCCAGACCCTGTCAACCTAACCCTGGCCGGGAACCCCCAGCCCAGAGAGACATTGTCAGAGGTGTGGACAAGCAGATGTGCTAGATGACCTTTGCAAGGCGGTGCTCAAGGTCACTTTGAAATTCAGAAGAATCAGGAACTTTTACTATTAGGAACTGTCAAGGATCCAGCAGAGATTAAAGACGTTAGGTAAAAATGTATATCTCAAGGGGAAATTCTCTGTCATAAACACCAAGGACAAAACCAAGAAATTCCATCACAAGGAAAAACAATCTCACCCTTCCTCTTGTGAGGAATTCCAGAGCAAGGGAGTATTTTCTGTGAAGCAGGGGTCTTCAGGCCTGGAGCCAAAGAACCAAGGCAGAGGAGAGGGAGACCTGGAAAACACAGGAAAGGAGCCAGAATAACCAACAAAATACTGAAGGTGTTCCCAGTAATGAGCACTCAGTTCAGCCAAGAATGTGCCTGAGATTCAGTGATCAAATGTATATGAAAATTTGACCAAGGCCAGGCGTGGTGGCTCATGCCTGTAACCCTAGCACTCAGGAGGCTGAGGCAGGAGGATTGTTATGAGTTCGAGTCCAATCTGGGCTACATAGTGAGTTCCAGGGCAGTCTCAACTACGTAGTGAGACCCTGTCTCAAAAAGCCAAAACAAAGAAAGAAGAAAATTTGACCAAGTTTTTCTAAATAGTAAAAAGCTGGAGAGACACTTAAAAATAACTCTCCTCTCCTCTCCAGCTTTAGCCAGATTGAAAATGCAAAGCAGAAACTCACAGGGGGGCCCAGATGCTGTGAGAGCCATACTTTTGGGCTCATGTGAGCAACAACAGGGGATTCTGGCCACCCTGGCTTTCCCATGAGAAACTGTGCATCAGTAAATACATTCCACCTGATGGGCCTTTCCTTCACAGGGAAGTCTGTCTCCTAAGAGCGAAGCACATTCACATTTAAAAAGTCCTCATGGCTTCTCTGGAGACTATGCCCAGAAGTCAGGGCCACAGGGTTGGAACGAGATGGTAACCAAAATGGCAGCGAGGGGCTCTCGGGACAGCAGGCACAACTGAAGCAAAATGGCTTCACCTGGGAAGGGTGCCCTCCAGAGGCTTCTCAGCCTGTCCGCTGATGGAAGGACCACAAATAATGTATCGAGCACAGCAGGGGCTTTCTGAAAAGAAAATAATTACATGGACACAATAAAGTGCACCAACATACATAGCCACTCTCATTTAAGGACATGTGTTTAAAAACAACAAGCTTTCTCTAGAAGTTGCAAATAGCATCTTCACCCCTAATAGTTGGAAATATGCCATTTCATAGGCTGGTCCACGGCCTTTTCTAAAGAGCTCAGGCCATGCAGACATGCTGTTGGCACCATGAACATTCATGGAGAGCAATTCAGTAACCCCTCAGACTATTAATGCATAAGGAAGGAATCTGAAGGAAAATAGTTCTATGTGCCTTTTTGTTCTCACACGAAATTCACATGTGACACAGACAAAACGACTCTGATCTGCAGGGCAGTGGAAACCAGGGCCCTGTGCTGCCCGACAGCCAGGGGAGGAAAAAGCAGTAGGGACAGAGACGGACAGCACACAGCTTGACTTCAACATGAAGACGAACCCAGCCCAAGGGACGTGAGGATCGCCGTGCTGTTAGCAGCTCAACCTGACAGAGACCATTAGCGGAATCCTCCGTCCGCTCCGTCACTACTACAAACCCAGAAGGCCTCGGAAGGTGCGGACATCTTGTGGAGTCAGCGAGCCCATGCTCCATTTCCTCAGCCGCGTTGTACAGATGCAAAGAAAACCCCTCATTGTTGGTGCGTTACATAAGGAAATGTGGGAGGCATGAAGACAAAGCTTGGTTGTTGCAATGATCTTCATCACACCTGCCATGTTGTTTTCATCTTGTTTTACCTGGGGTCAAACGTGGTAGACCTCTCACCGTAGATCCTCAATAAACGCCTAATGATGAATAGGTTAAGCTGCAGTGGTCATCGTTTACCTGCGTGAGATTGGCTGATTGACCCTTAAAACAGTTTTCTAAATTACTATATTTGGAATCACCACTGACCCTCTGAAGGACAGCATTCGAAGCAAGCAGAGGTCCTACTACTCCTTGGAAGCCCAAGCCAAGGGAACTGACATCAAACGGCTCACAGCAGCACCTGCCGCACAACCCACAGATTCACCTTCTCACCATTATGGAGGCAGATTAGAAATGGGGAACAAAGCCAGGCTTGGTAGCACATGTCTGTAATCCCAGCACTCCGTGAGGCTGAGGTGGGAAGATCAGAAGCTCAACCCAGACTGGGAAACTTAGTGACTTAGTGAGACCCTGTCTCAAATATTTTTTTAAAAAAAATTTTAGAGGGTTAGGGATGCAAAAGTGCAAAAGTCCTAGGTTAAAAATTGCCACAAAAAAAAAAATGAGGAAAGGTCAGAAGTCCATTATACCATTTTCTCTTCTCAGTGGCATCAGGTTGTGTTCATCACTGTTTAGTATTTCTGTGGCACTTTGAGAACATGAAGTATTTTATAATTGTAATAAAGCACACAGGGAATGGTTCCTAACCTTTTGTATAGCCATATCTCTAAAGAACCAAAAAAGTTGATTTCATCACTGTTTAGTATTTCTGTGGCACTTTGAGAACATGAAGTATTTTATAATTGTAATAAAGCACACAGGGAATGGTTCCTAACCTTTTGTATAGCCATATCTCTAAAGAACCAAAAATGAAAGAATTTCATCTGGAAATTTCCCAAACTGACTTCAAGCCATCTCAGCTTTCACCTTGCTACCATCTGGGCATGGTTTCTCGCTGTCCCAAATCCACACCTGGCCACACGAAGGACAAACAGAGGGAGCTTTGGGCCCTGTCACCCAGCAGGGCCCTGGCTGTCCACAAACCACACACACAGGAGATGCAGGGTCACACGGACAGCACACGTTCCACAGCCCGGAAATCAACCACCCCCATAACCGAAAGCCTCAGCTGTATCTTTTGACTTAATTAAGGCAGAAAACCTTGATGAGATCCGTATCATTGCTGACCTTTCTGCTTCTGGAAAAAGAACTCCCGCTGATGTTTTTCTGACTTCCACATCTCTCCGCTTTCACAAATTTCAGCAGTGTCTGGTTACCCTCGTGTCTCAGAAAACTCAGTCTATACATTAGCAAAATTCATGAGGGCCTTTGCATTTATAACAAGGTAATACTTATTTTGTAACTTTGAAATTACAGAAGAGGATAATAAGTTAAACATCTTACGTAATTCACAATTCAGAGATATCCAATGGTGACATCTAGAAATTTTCCTGTCAGTTGTTCTTTTCCCCCACCTAAGTGAATATTTAAGTCACATGCAAATATAGGTGCATACAGCACACATCCCTGTATATAAGTCGCTTTGTCCTCTGTTCAATTTAGCCATTCCCTTAGCATTTCCCTTGTTATTAAATCTTTTTCCACAGCATGATTTTAATATTGGCTCTCGTATTTCATTCATGGATTGCTGCATTGTTTGACTGTCCATCTGTCGGTAGTCATTTAGAGGATTTCTGATTTTTTCACTGAGATGTCACAAACTCTCTGGGAACCTGAATAGGTAAGTCTGTGTGTGCCAGAGGTAGAGGCAGGTCTAGAACTTCCTTGGTGCCCACCGTCCTCCGCCGGAAGACAGCTGGTGTCTCATACTCACCTTCCCCTCACGGGCAGAAACGAATCCCTGCCCTCCAGCCCTGGATTCTAACCACAGCCTGGGCAGAGGGTGCGAGCCGCAGAGCCCAGGCAGGGAGCTACACCCAGGCCAGCCGGGGGGACCAGCAGAAATCGGGGGGGACCAGGAAGAAGGCAGCGGACCTCTAGACAGCAAGGACCCAGGGGTCTGCAGCGGGGCCGGGTGGGCAGCGCTGCGGGGCAAGGCCTCCCTGGTGGGCTGGGATGAGACCCCCGACTGAGGAACGAGCCGGCTCCTCCTGGGGCGCCCTCTTTGTCCAGGTGACCCCACGGCATCTCCAACTGTCCTGAAGGAAGAAGGCCTCTCAGCACTCAGGGCGGCCAGGGCATTCCGTGTGTTTCCCGCAGCCTGCCCGGCTGAGCCCACCTGCTCTGCCATCTCATCTAACCCTTCTGTTGACCCTGGAGGTGATAAAACGATGCTTCATGGTCGCTTCATGGTCGTTGGGTCTGTTTGCTTTGAGGCAAGACTTCGTTAAGCAGTTCAGGCCTCCCGCCTGGGCCTCCCTCCCGGGTGCTGGGCTCCCTCGACCAGTGACTCCCGCTGTAAAAGAAGCAGGTGGGGTTCAGGGAAGTCTGCTCTCCTGCCCCACCGCTCCTCTGCGCCTCTTGGGGCTTGTTTTTAGTCTGGCTTTTCAGCCCCAGGCTACCGCCCCTAACTAGCAAACTGGTAGGCGAAAGTTCAGCCAGGTTCGCTCCCCCTGTGGCCACAGTCAGGGGTCGCCTGGGGGAGGCAGAAGGAGGGAGCGGGAGGAGAGTTGGCCTTGCCAAAACGCGGCCAGAGGCCTCCATTGCCGCCGGAGCTGCTTCTCCGGTTTAATTTACTACAGGAAGCAGAGTGTGCCCATGCCCAGGCCGCTCCGGAGTCAGAGTCTGCACACCCTTGATCAGCAAAGAAGCAGAAAACACGAAGCCTGGGTGCGGGGGCCTCACTGCGGACCTGGGTAAGCCACTGGCCAGGCTTGTCCTCGCTTCTTACCTGCAGGGGAGGAGACCGAGACAGTCCCTCCTTCACACAGCGACAATCAAGCGGGGCACAGCGGCCGGGTGGAGCCCAGGCCTGGCGCGGGCAGCTGGTGCAGCACAGCTCCCACCCACGTCACCTGGGACTCCAGGGTCTGCCCCGCCGTCCCAGGGGCTGGCACAGAGCACCCCTCACCTGCACTCACACCTTGGCGGAGCCCCTATTCCAAGCAGAATTCTCTCCTTGGGCTGTGTCCTCCGCAGCTCTAGGTCTTTCCTCGGGGGTCTTTACTGGTGCGGGGAGAGCTGTCACCCACTTTCCACCTCCAGCGGTGAGCGGCGCAGTGTGTGCGACAGAGACACGGAGTGAGTGCTGGCCACACACTCATGATACTGCTCCCTTCTATGATAATCTTGGGAATAAAATAAAGACTAGGCATCCGTTTTCCCGAGGAGAGAGAGGTGTGTGCTTTTAAGCTTTCCTTTACATCTGAATACAATATAAGAAGGACAAAGCATCAGATACAGGCAGTTTTACAAGCTTTTCGGATATACCTGTACCTTGTCAATAAATCAGGTCCATACACGCCAAGACCAAAGTTCCTAAATACCCTTCCCCTAATGAGTATGAACACCTGAAGAGGAGTGTCACTCCCACACCATTTACACACAGA